GGGCGTAAGCTCATGTCTACTCCTCTAGGCTTCCGCAGACTTTGCCAAATGAACAGTGTAGAGGTGCGTATCCAGTCAAGCAGGGATGCCTGTACTCGATGACTCAACATAATGCCCACCACACTATATGCAACTGAAGCGGCCTTCGCGTTAGCACGGGTGCCTAACCGGAGGGGGGAAGACAATAGTGGGGCCTGCAGAGAAAGGTTTCCTACGGGAATCGGGTGGGACAGGGTATAAAACAGAGTGTTGGAGTGGGAGTGTAAGAATCGGGCATCAGTAGTCCGTTTTTGGCTACCCACCATGATGTATGCAGCAAGTAAAGTGACCCAGGTTGTTTGCATCACACGGAAGCAATATAACACGATAGTATTTTTAGTTGTGAGTTGCATGGTTATACGTGAGCTGGGATACTGTCAGAGCGCCCACGCCTAGACAGGAGGGCGTTTAGGGTCCCCAACCAAAACCTCTGATTCAAAAGCCTGATGGCAAGAGAGCGAGTGGGTGCCGACATACTACTACAATGGCACAACGTCTTTGAGGAGTAAAATCGTTGTTTGTGTCCTAGCTTCTCACCTGGGAGACCATAAGACTGTCCGTCAGACCTCTATCCACTGAGCAACATAGCGTTTGCAACTGTGTGTGTTGGTTGAATGACATTGATATTACTGATCTTGCTAACCGAACGGTGCGGACACCACTGTTTACTAGAATCCACCCCACTCGGGCTAAGTGCAAACCCCATACCATATACACCACAAGTCACAGTGTCTGAATCAGCACCTTCAGATAGTAAAATGTGGGAATTTTGATGTCCTTCTGGAGGCTTTAAGGTGTATGAGCCCACTTGAGACTTTCGTGTTCCGCAGATGTAGCACACATCAACTTTGAGATAGTATAATGTCTGTGTGAGCATTGCCTTTTCACCAATTTGACGTAATACGCTCGTGGAAAACTTTTGTATAGAAAAGAAAGGAAGTGTTGTTCGGTTTGTTGTCAATTCGCAGTGAACTGGATACCACTCAGCTGTAGCACCCTTCCGGTGCCTAGCTGCCAAGCTACCCAAAGGAAGCACGAGGGCTGGGGTACTGCCATGTTACCCAAGCCCAGACAAAGGAAGTCGAGAGATAGAGGTCGATTTCAAGCCACGGACCTTCCGGTCAGTGAATTCGCGCTTTTACCAATTGAGAGATCTCTTGGATAAGGTTCACCGGGCAGCTAACATACAATCAGATTATCCAGTGACATTTGCCTGTAGGGTGATAATTTGCAGGTGGGTAGATGATGCTTCCAGGTTACCCAGGGAGATGAGGACAGTTTAATTAAGGTACTCCATTGGTTGTTGATCAGATGGCTGTTGATCACCATACGGGAGACATCATCAGTGCGCAGTTGGGTGGGTACTTCTTCCTTGCCTGCGTGTGTTTATATAGCAGTCAAAGGTCATCTGTTCGCGAGCTTGGCAATTGGCTTGCAAACGTTTCGTCACCATACGAGGAGACATCATCAGTGCGCAGTTGGGTGGGTACTTCTTCCTTGCCTGCGTGTGTTTATATAGCAGTCAAAGGTCATCTGTTATCTTCTGATGTGATTGGCTACCTGACGTGTAACGAGTCTAGTGAATCTATTGGTCCGTTTGTGATTCTTGTTGCGTTGAAGTTGCTTTAAGTTCTTATTGATTTGGTTTGCTAGCTGCTTGCTTTGGTCGCGTTCTAAGCGGCGGTACGTAGTTGTATCGCTTAGAACGCGACCAAAGCAAGCAGCTAGCAAACCAAATCAATAAGAACTTAAAGCAACTTCAACGCAACAAGAATCACAAACGGACCAATAGATTCACTAGACTCGTTA